AGAGTGGAGGGGAGCGTACCGATTTTCGCATGGCGCTTCATTCGCATGACCTTGACACATTCGACGATGGCCGCCCCCGAGTTGTCGATGCAATTCATCATTGTCTGCGGGGAGTTTGTTAGCTGCTGGGAAGATGATGCGGATGCGGGATACTGTATCGGTATCGGGAGGAAACTGGCTGACCTTTAATTGAATCATCGTGGGATCAGATCAGATACGATCAAGCCCGAGCTGCTGGATATCAGAGAGGGTTGGTGGCGGTCGTGGTAGTGAGGGTTGGTAGAGATGGTGGTTGGGCGGTGGTGGCCTCCGTAGCAAATTCGGGTACCTGCATATACCTATACGGTACCGATAGGTATGTCCAGTATCTCTCTTGCGGAACTTCACTTACCCTCTGGCACAAACTCCCTTCACCTCTTATTCATTCCTTTCTTTCCCTTGGTCTGCTATATATATATATACATACATCAAGTAGTTGGTCCCTTACTCGATCTGAGACTTTATTATTTGATCATCTTGACTTCTTCTTGACTTGATTTCTACCTTTCTTCCCCCATTCCGCCGCACCCATGCAGCAGCCGTCATCGCCCTGGCGGTGAATCTCAACCTCGCCGACGCGAGGCTGCGTTCACCACAAGAACAAGAGGAAGCGCGAGGGCGACCCCCGGACCTCCTCCATACCGTCGAGTCATTTTCTCATGAGAATAGTTATTCATTCACCCAGCTCACATCCTCCTCTCCTCCAGATTTCACCTCAACCTCAACCTCAACCTCAACCTCAAGTCCAACTTCAACTTCAGCTTCACCTCCAACTTATCCTTAGTACGACAGACAGCCCGATAGCCCGTCAGCACCAACAATACTACGAATAGACATCCTTCGAGCTGTCGCATAAACCCCCACACCGCAAATCCAGCTCGCGATGCCTTTTCAAAATGTGTCCCCAAAGAAGCAGCGTCTTACGCTTGCGCAATTGGCCGCCTACGACGACGTTATTACCGATGCCCTGGTAGATCATGTGGGTTCCCTTTCACCCTTCAGAAGTTCACATTCTTACGGATCCAGGTCTACTTCTGGACCACTATTCGCAAGAACAAGAACGCCTACCACTCTTCTCGGGGCATTACCGAGGAGGCCGTTACTGCGATTCTCCAAAAGCGAGTGATCGTCGAGAAGGATGCCGCTAAAGCCGAGGAAGAGCTGCTTGAATTGCCCGGGCTCAAGAAATTCTCGCAAAACCTGAAGACGGAAAAGGAGAAGGACGACTTCCGGAGACATTTACGAAAGTACGTGAACATTTACCTGCCGGACTGCCCTTTCGAGGTTTCCAGCACGAACCGGTACACGATTGTTACCCATGAAGCAGCTGTGACCGCCCGACGCTACATCAAGAAGGGAGAGGTAGTCAAATACCTGTGTGGAATTCAAGTGATCATGACAGAGGAGGAGGAGGAGTTGATCAAATCCAGTCGTCGGGACTTCAGTATTGTGGTATCGAGTAGGAACCGAACGGCATCTCTCTTCCTTGGGCCAGCAAGGTTTGCGAACCACGATTGCGGAGCGAACGCGCGACTCATGACAGCTGGGACCTCCGGCATGGAGATCATCGCTGTGGCTGATATTGAGATAGGGGACGAAATTACTGTATCCTATGGTAAGTTCACATTTCAGACTCGCAATTTTGGCAACTATACTAACTTTGATGAGGTGACAACTACTTTGGAGAAGACAACTGCGAGTGTCTTTGCCAGACCTGCGAGAATCTTGGTCACAGCGGCTGGGCAGCGGGCCAGGCTGAGCCGGAGGATGGAGAGGAAAATAAGATCCTCCAGCCCTCGATCGAGGAGGAGAGTGGCGGCCCAAACGGCTCTTACTTATTGCGTCGCCGCAGAGACCGACGAGAATCGACGGTATCCTCGAGGGATGAGTCGGCGACCCCCGAAATCAATATCAGACCTCGAGTCAAGGTCCTGAAGGCAACACCAAGAACGCTTTCTCGGTTCAAGAACATGGAGTCAACTCTAGAGACAAAATCTCCCTCAATCGAGGCCAGCGTGTCCCCGTTGAAGCGCAAGAGAGAGGAATCTGAGACGCTTTCGCCATCTAGAACTGCCAAGAAGCCCCGAAGAAAGGGCCTTTCGAACGCAAAGAAAGCTTCCGAGTTAAGCCTTTCTACTCGGTTGAGCACAGAGCCTTCGCCGGCTTGCTCCACGTCCAATTCTAGACGTGATAGCTTCTCAGGCCCGTGGATCGATGGCCAAAAGAGTACCGATGCCACGTCTGTTGACGAAGACGCGATTGTTGACGAAGACACAATTGTTGTGGATGTAGAGTCACAGCGCACCATCAACCCATCTGGCCCGGGAATAAGGAGAGCCGCCAGATCTAGGAAGCAAGCCAGGCCTCTCGAGCAAGCGAAGAAAGGCGAATCGATCCTTGTCAGCGACACCACCAGCTCAAAGCACCCAGTTCTCCAAGACGACAGCGACCCCGCCAATAGCTCTGCTCTCTCCAAGCTCTCGGACCAACTATTCGATGGGGACGACTCTTTCGGACTTGCCATGTCCAAGGCAGTAGATGAAGCCAATACCGAGTTGACATCCAAAAAGCGCAGAAGGATAGAGCCGCGTAAGAGAAAGAGCAAAGAACCAACCAACGACGCAGACCACGCACCACCCGTCCGAGTCCGCGGCGATTACGTCTTGACAGGCCGTCTCCTTGCCGAGCCTACCTCCGCGTGGATTACCTGCAAGATCTGCGAGGAGTCATTCGTTCAGCAAAACGCCTACTTCACACGTTCTTCCTGCCCGAGATGTGAGCGACACAGTAAACTTTACGGATACATGTGGCCTAAGACTGACAAGGAAGGCAGGCACGATACGGAGGAGCGCGTGCTGGATCATAGAACTGTTCATCGCTTCATCAAGCCTCAGGAGGAGAGAGCGATCCGCAAACGCAATTTTCTGTCTGAGATGAGCGAGAGTCGAGCAGTGTCAACTTCGCGGAACGTGAGCGAAAATGCTTCCCAGGGCAGCAACAAGGAGAACACGACTGTCAAGCCGGCGAGTAAGCCGCGGAAGAAGAGAGCGAGATCTACTATGTAGGGCAGAGAAGGACTCGAAATATAGGATGACGTTTACGATGTTTTCAAGCGGGCGTGTATCTGGGAAGGAGTTTGGAGTGGTGCTTCGGCTTTGCGAGAAGAGAGGCTTCTTTGTACCAATCTGCTGCATACAATTTCGAGAAGGCGTACCTACGGATGAAGCTTGGTGGGTGTACAGTAATTATTAGTATTAGTGGGTGAAATGGCAGCAGTGTAGCTGCTACCTCGGCTCAAAGATTCTTCTCCTGAGTGACCCGGACGTGTACATGTTCCTTGGTTTCCCCAATTTTTTTACGCATATAGATAGCATTTTGATATATGTTATTGGTGGCCTGCTTTTTGATATGAATTTCTTCCAATGTGCGCCGAAGCATATTCAGTTGAGTTGTCTGCCACTTCTCCATACTGTTCCGTGGTTCGATCAAGGCTTTTGAAGGCTTGTTCTACGGTTCGCACGAGCGGTACATTCGCCATCAGAAGGGCTCCATCTAGCTTGCTCGTAATTCTAACGCTTATGAATTCTATTCCAATTGCCAATTCCAGAGTCATTCACCGTAAGTCATGTCTAGCGCAAACCAACTCTACATCGTCTTCCCTTCCCTTCCCCTTTGAAATTCCTCTGCAAATATGCCCCATCCCCCCACTGGCTCATGGTCCATTCTCAACTCATGAACCACGAAGTCATACACCCCATCCGCCGGTAGTCTCCCCTGGCACACATTCCCCCCCATCGCCACATTCAAAATGACATTAAATTCACTCATCCTCCTCGTCCCTTCGGGTATATTCGCCTTCATAACCGTCCTCCCATCAATATACCATACCATTCTCCCTCCCTGCCCATTCTCCGGCTGATCCCACGCAAACGCCATCGTCACCGGCCGTCTCGCCATATCAGGAATCGGCGTCTCAACGACCCGATGTTTCTGCGAGTCCTCCCCGTTGAAATGCCCCCAGTGCAAACAAGAATGATTCACGCAATCCCCATTCCAGCTCTCGAAAACATCCACCTCCCCATCCGTCGGCCAGCTGAACGGGGCTTTCGGCAGCAGCCAAAACGCAGGCCAGATGCCCGCCGCGCAAGGCGCGCTCAGGACCGCCGTCAGGCACCCCCTCTGCCGATCTAGTGTCTGATGCGAGACGAGGCGCGCCGAGGTGAATTTGTTCTCCGGCAGGGAATGGTTGACGATTGCGCGCACGACCAGTTTCCCGTCGGGGGTGAAGAAGGAGTTCGCAGCGGCAGCAGTATAGTTCTGTGACTCGTTGTTGCCCCAGCCGTGGGCGCCAGTTTCATGCTGGAAAAGGGCAGAGACGGGGGTGGAAGGGGTAAAGAAGGGTTGCCAGTATGGTTGAGCAGGATGGGAACCGCCGGGTTTGGTACCGTAGGGAATGAGTGGGGGGCCGCCTGAGTGGAATTGATGCGGTGGTTGTTGTGGATACTGGTGATGCTGCTGCTGCTGCTGGCGCTGTTGGCGCTGCTCGTTGAACTCTTTGAATTTGGCTTTGCCTTTATTAAGAAGGCCTTCGAGGTGGCCTTGAAAAGACATCGTGATAGAATATGCTATTAACCTCCGACCCGACTAAACCTCCGATTAAGAGTATTTTGGCGCGGCTGAACGAGAAACTGTTGGTGAACTTTTGGTCCGGACCACTCATCGCTGCTTGTAAAAGTTCGCTTAGCAAAGTATTACCTACGCTTAATAGTGGGCCTTGACGTTGCAACTTTTAGGGCCCTTCCTTAGTAGTAATAATAGTAGTAAGGCCATCTTAATTATTTAATACGAAATTTTCAATTTGCTTATAACGACTTGATTTTTATTGCATTCGATTTTCAAGATACGGTTTCTTTAAAAATCCGCTAAAATTAAATCAATAGCTCGTTGCGCTCGCCGCATAGCTCGAGAAATAACTTTTATTATTCTAACTCGATTTTTTGCGGATAATAATAATACTAATAACGCCGATTATATACGGCTCTAAGACGTTGCATCGCCGTTTAATTTTACTTAGCATTTTAAAAAAAGAAAAAAAAAAACGTTGCAATTAATTTGCAGCTCTTTTTTTTCGAGTATATCGAATATGTTGTTCTTGTTGTTGTATTTATTAACGTCGGGCGGGTATCCAAAACGCAATGCTTGGACCTTAAGGACCTCTTTTAAGGTACGGCGACGTGCTAATAGTCAGTGCACTGACTTTGTGACCTGCGGGCTCTCGGTCACAGTCAAGACAAGCAAGTGTCCTAGGTCAAGCAAGTGTCCCATTCTAATTATTTCAACTTGTATTAGAAATAACTTAGCAACGAATATTGCTATGATATTCAAAACTAGATGCATAGATCGGCGTAATCGAGATCTTTAAAAGTTTAACCAAGTATAAAATATTTTTATTAATAATTTAATAATGAATAGAATAAATAATGTTTGATTATCGATTGAATTTGATTGAAAATCAAATATTTTGTATTAAAAAATTTATATTTTTGAATATTAATCGTCTTTTGAATTGAGCTTCGATATAAAAATTTGATATTTAAAAAATTCTTAATCAAGCGGACTCGTACCATTTAGTTTTTTTATTATAACTTCTATAATTATTATTTTATTTAAGTTACAAATATAATCGAAAAGTTGATGTTCTTGAATTTTCGTTAAATTGTCCGAGCTTTTTTCGCTGTTACAATTGTGATTTTGCGTAATAAATATTATTTTACTTATTTTAATAATAAAAAATATATAATATGTTTAATAGGTAAAGTATAATTCACTTATCTCGATTCGTATATTTAATTTTTATTATTGTATCTTTTTTTGTTATTGACTTATTCTTAATACAAATCGCGATTTTCGATTCTTTTCGATAAAGAATCAGAAACAATTTTTTTTTACGATTTGCAACTTGAATTACTTGATAATAAAAAGAGCTATATTGATAAAAATTGAATGCATTAATCGGCGGAATCGAGCTCTTTAAAACTATCAAATTTTTAATATCATAGCTTTATTCGTTATTAAGTTATTTTTAATACAAGTTAAAATAATTGAAATAGGACACTTGCTTGACCTAAGACACTTGCTTGTCTTGACTGTGACCGAGAGCCCGCAGGTCATAAAGTCAGTGCACTGACTATTAAGTAAAGGAATTATATACAAAGTACTATCTAATCGAGAATGAAAACTACGTTGAAGAAAACCTTTCGTTAAATAGCTGAACACTTGTAAAACTCTTAAAAGCAATTCATAATAATATTATATATGCATCGAGTTTTCTTTCGACAACTGTCGAATACGTATAGCCTTACGAGCGGCTTCGATCCGTATAGTACAAACATCGTTCTCTTTCGTCGTAAAGCTAAGAAGGCTCGCGTTTGTAGCCTTTAAGTAAAGCCGGTGTGTTTGCAAAACTGTTGGATTGCGTCCAAGCGATTGGGAATATATATTCGTAAGGTCGTAACTAGGCTGCTCCATGGGGCCCCATGGGGCCCCACGGAGTTTTAAGTCCTCCCCACGGGGGAACCCACGAGGGGTACAAAATTCTGCCCCTCCCTATAAGGAAACCCTATAAAGCGTAAGGTTACTCTATAAGGTTTATATACATAAAAATATATATATGCATAATTATTAATTAGGTTTACTAATCACATTTATTAATCATATTTACTAATCACATTTACTAATCACATTTACTAATCATATTTATTAATCACATTTACTAATCAGAGACTTAGAGTATTAGTTAAATTTACTAGTTATAAAAGCTTAAGAGTTAATAAAGACCCGTTTTTTAATTTAAATCTACTAGTTACAAAGAGTTGATAAAGACCCGTCCTTTTGCAGTTACGTAAAATACGGTCAACTCGATCTCCGCTTTTAGCCCAAGCTTTTGCTTATAAGCATAGTTTAAATAAATCTCGTTTGACTCAAGTAGCTCTCTTAGCTTTTAGCACTTGTTGCTCTACTTAAACTCATTTTCATTCGAGAACTTAAAGGTGAGGCGTTTGTATACTAAAGTGCTATCGATAGTGAAAGGGTATAGCATTAATAGCTTTTTCAAGATGCTTTTAGCTTCGGCATAATCGCTATCGAAAAGCTTAAGAGTAAGATCACTTAAGATCAATCGAACCTTAACATCCTTATAAGTAAATTGCTTTCTAATTGCGTTAAGGAAAGAGACAAAGTAGTCGAAGAGACAAAAGACTTAAGCGCTCTCTTTTTAAATAAAAAATCAATTAGTGATCATAAAATATAGATATTATTACTAACTTTATTAACATCGTAGTGCTTGATGCCGAACTCGTCGATAAAACCTTTGCGACTTTTCTATTCGTACTCGAGGCCGATTAATCTTAGAAACAAAGCGGTATCCTTTTCGTTATAGCAAGTAAACATTGAATTAATAACGCTACTATTAGCATAAACGATTACGAAATCTTTATAGCGACTAAGTATCTCGTTGATTAGCTTATTGCTACTAGTGCTAAAAGGGTTGACCTCGACTATAGCGTTATAAAAGAAAAGAATCGATATTGCTAAATAAAGAAAATAATTAGCTTAAAGCAAAGAATCAAAAAGCAAGGAATTAAAAAGAAAATAATTACTTAAGTTAAATATAATTGTAATTGAGTGTTAAAGTTAGTTAAGAAGTTGAAGTTGAGTGTTGAAGTTAAGAAGTTGAAGTTGAGTGTTAAAGTTAAGGTTGAGAAGTTAAGTATTGAAGTTAAAGTTAAGAAGTTGAGTGTTAAAGTTAAAGTTAAGAAGTTGAGTGTTGAAGTTGAGGTTGAGAAGTTGAGTATTAAAGTGATAATGAAAAAAAGAAAAGAAAAAGGAAAAAGAGCGAGTACTTATATAAAAATAAAAGTATAGCTTAATCGTAATCGAGGCATTGCCTCGATTCATTAAAAGTGAATTATAATATTTGAAATAATAAATCGACGCAGAATAAAGAAAATAACGATGCAATGCTTCGATTTATCAAAAGTGAATTATAATATTTAAAATAATAAATCAACGCGGAACAAAGAAAATAACGCGTCGCTTAATGATAATCGATGCAATACTTCGATTCATTAAAAGTGAATTATAATATTTAAAACAATGAATCGACGCAAAACAAAGAAAACAACGCGTCGCTTAATAATAATCGATGCAATGCTTCGATTCAACAAAAGTGAATTACAATATTTAAAACACGAACTCGACGCGGAACAAAGAAAGAACGCTTCGCTTTGTAAATCTGATTAGTAAATCTGATTAGTAAATGTGATTAGTAAATCTAATTAGTAAATACTGCACGAAAAGAAACCTTGCATGACTGCACGTCTTTTTGCTATACGTGCTTAGCTCGGCTATAGCTCGGCTATAGTACGTGCTTTACCGTACGTAATCTGATTAGTAAATTTAATTAATAAATCTAATTAATAAATCTAATTAATAAATGCTGCACAAAAAGGATTAACGTACTTAAAGCTGCTATACGTAATTTACGTAAGGCTGCTATACGTAACTTACGTAAAGCTGCTACACCTAACGTACTTAAGGCTG